GGGGGGATCAAGGGAAATGAAATCCTTAAGAGAAACATTACACGCCTCGTGCATGTATTGTTAAATATGTCATAGTTGCACTTCACTTGATATCAATACAGTAAATAACATTTTTCGAACAAAGCCATATTTGAACTGAATGAGGAAGATAAATGTGCTCATGTACCGTACATATAGAGAGGGGATTATTCCCCCTTTCCCCCACCCCACTCCCCTTCCACAAACACACACACACACACACACACACACACACACACACACACACACACACACACGTAATAGCGGTAATCAAGCCAACAAGAAAAGCGGGCAACTGTCAAGAAAATCTCATTTTACTTTCTGTTCCATTTCCTAATTCTGCGGACCTGTCAGTTTTCTGTTGGCGTTGAATGTCCTGGCAACAGCATAAACTCGTGAAGCATGCTGATGGCTCGATTTCTCTGAATTTGGGTTCAACCTACCATATTTCTTAAGTGACAAAGATCAAAATTGTGTTATTGCGGCTTTTGGTAAACACTGACCTTAACTTCATAAAAAAACACTCCCAAAAAAATATAAACAAATTTGCCACGTGGTCAGAAAAAAATGCCAAATTTTATTTTTTGACGTTAATGCACTTAAGTACTTAAATTATGTTTTTGATTTTGTTTTTTCTTCACATGACAAACGCATCTTCCAGTTTGTGTGGGGTTGTTGCTTTCTTTTATCTGGTGAAATGGCCATGGGTCAGATATGAACTGTCGTCGGGGGCGAATCTGGCTCATTGGTCATATATTGATGACCCTTGACTCAAAATATGCCGAAGGTGGCTATCGTGGTCGAGAGTTACGGTGTTCCCCTCTCGTTCAATAGGTCCCCGGTTTGAATCCGGAGAGCGACAGAAAATGTTCTTCTCCAAACTTGTCGCTTTTCACCTCCTTTCCTGTTCTCTAACAATGTTCTGTCGTCTGCTTTCCTCTCCACTTTCTGCCCCCACCCCGTCACCTCCTTTCCCCCTTCCTCTGGGCGCCTAGCTCTTTCTGCAACCTTTCTAATGCTACACCTTGGCTACTTGTTACTGTTGTCTTTCAACCACATCCCTGATCTTCTGGTAGGAAAGATCTACACCTAGCCTTCTCAGATAAGGGCCAAAAATCTCGGCGGTCCCATGTGCAAGTTGCGCACGTTAAAGATCCCTTGTTGTTCCAAAATCGATATGAGTAGGATTCGACCGCCTCCTGGGCAAAATTCAAATTTTCATACCGACTGAAATTGTTTAATGTGTCCCGCGCTTTCATATTATTATGACCTTAAGCAGCTACGAGCGCCGTAAAACTTACCAAACTAAGAAAAAAAAATGCGTAAGTCAAAACTTGGCAAAAGTAAAGCATAACCTTGGTGCACATCGGCTACGATGACAGCCCGGTGTCTCTTGTTCCTCTAAAACATAGAACCAAACCCAGTGTAGCCGTGACCCCCACGTTGACACCAGATCTGCGCCGCACTAGGTCAAGACGTTCCATATGGGTGGTTAGTGTGTGTGTGTGTGTGTGTG